CTGACGATAGAAGAGTTTGTTGAATCTGACGTGACATGTTCGTACGAACCCTTTGTACGAACAAAAGTAAGAGAAATTTAGGAGAAGAATCAAACATGTTCTTGCATGAGGCCCAATGTTCACAAAACAAGGTTTCTATTTCGCGTCTATCAACTGGCTTTATCATAGCTTCTATTTTTTTTTCGGACCAAAGCAACCAGAACAACATTTTACAGAACTGAACAGTTCCCCTGTATTAAGGGGTTGGCATTAAACAGCTAGCATTAGGCTACCACCATGGAAAAGTAAAGACTGAATCGCTCATAGAAAAAAATAAAGATCTCAGAATCTACCAAACAATGGGCCTCATGCAAGAACATGTTCGTATTCTTATCCTGAATTTCTCTTACTTTTGTTCATACAAAGGGTTTGTACAAACATGTCACGTCAGATTCAACAAACTCTTCTATCTTCAGGAAAACTGTGTAAATGAGCAGCGTAAACTGATGAATGCGTATCTAGGTGCTCGTACACAAGGAGAGGTGATTAGCATAATTACCACCCTAAAAACACCATATAAGGATATATGTTTCCTGCCACAGATACCAGGAATTGTTCATTCATAAGTGACATCGCAAAGTAAAAAAGAAGAGCTAGTTCAGAGATTGAAGCTCTGCTCTCGGAGATCCACAAAAAAAGTCATTTTAGCAGCGTCAGCTGTGGAATTAAAGGATCTGCTTTAAAGCCGAGGAATGAAATGACAACTGCTGTTAATGTCGAGTCTCCTGTGGGTCACAGAAATAAAAATCTAAATCATATTTATCTGTCTGTAGTCCTGTTCCAGCTTTTCATTGGTCAAATATTTTTAATTTCAGTGTAAACTGTGTTACATGCTTCATTTATTCAGGGGAGCAGTCGCGCACCCCCACACCCCACTGCGCAAGTGTCGGATGCGTTTCTGAAAAAAAAGCATTGTAAAATGTCTCAAAACTTTCGATTAACTTCATATTATGATTGTAGTGTTATACAACAAAATTAATAGCCAATTTATTTTAATTTAACCAATTTATATTGTTAGTCTGTGTTATTACATATAAAATTATAATT